TATCTCTCTATCTATCTACTCTACGATGATATCTATCTATATATATATTATATATATATCTATATATATCTATATTTATATACATATATCTCTATCTATCCATATATATATTATATATATATATATATTATTAATCTATATATATATCTATATATATAGATCCTATCTATATACTATTATATATATATCTATATATATAATATATTATATATATATATCATAATATATCTATATCTCCATATATATCTCCCTCTCTATCGATTCTATATATATCGTATATATAGATCTCTATATATATATATTCTATATCCTATCCATACATCTATCTCTTATCTATCTATCTATCTATCTACTCTATATATTTTATCTCTCTTAGATATCTCTGTATCATATCTCCTCTCATCTTCCTCTCTCTTCATCTGCTCTATCTTCTGTATAGTCTCTCTCTATAATATATCTCTCTCTCTCTACTATATCCTCTTATCATCTTACTCTCGTACAGGAAGAGCTCCAGGCTCACCGCTGTCTCTCTCTCTATCTATCTATCTCTCCTCTCTCTAATATCGCCTCTCTCTAATATCTATCTCTCCTCTCTCTCCATATCTATGTCTCTCATCTCTTATCTCTCTCTATCGTCTCTCTATCTCTCTCTCTCTCTCTCTATCATACTCTCTTCTCTATCTCGACTCACTACCTCCTCTTCTCGATCTCTCCTCCTCTCTCTCTCTCTCTTCCTCTCTCTATATCTCGTATCTCTATCCTCTCTATCTCTCTCTCTATTTCTCTCTCTCTCTACGCTCTCTCTAATCTCTATCTCATATCCATATATATGCTGACTCTCTATATTCTCTACTCCTATATATCTCTATCTCTATATCTATCTGTATCTATATATCTCTCTCTATCCATCTCATCTTAGCCACATATATCTCTCTACTATATCTATCTATATATCTCTATATATATCTATATAGAATCTATCTATCTCTCTATCTGCATCACACACATATAGATGTGTGTTTAATCTATATATATATATATATATATATATCTATATATAATCCTCTATATATCTATATATATATATCCTCTGTTCTATATATATATATTAATTAATTATCTATTATAGATTATATCTATCATATAATATATACTCATGTACATATAGCCTATATATACATCTATCTATATCACTCTCTACTATCATCTATATATAGATCATCTCTAATCTCTCTATCTCTATCTATCCTCTATATATCTCTCTGTCTCTCTATCTCTCTACTCTCTCTCTTCCTCTCTCTTCTCTCTGTTCTCCTCCACTCTCTCCCTCTCTACTCTCTCTCTCTCCTCTCTCTCTCTATCTATCTCATCTCTCTCTCCCTCTCCCTCTCCTAGTCTCTCTCTCTCTCTCTCTCTCTCTCTCTCTCTTCTCTCTCTCTCTCTGTCCTCTTCTCTCTTCTGTTGTAGTCTACTACTCTCTCTCTCTCTCTTCTCTCTCTCTCGTCTCTCTCTCTCTCTCTCTCTCTCCCTCTCTCTCTCTCTCTCCCCTCTCTCTCTCTCTCTCTCTCTCTCTCTCTCTAATCTCTTCTCTCTCTCTCTCTTACATATCTATATCTCTGTCCTCTCCTGTGTGTCTCTCTCTCTATCCTCTCTATTCTGGCACCTTCTCTGTCCCCTCCTCTCTCTCTGTCTCTCTCGCCTTCTTCGTGTATAAATACGGATTTATACTATACAATATATATATATATATACTCTATTCTATCCTATATATATATCTTTGTGTGTGTGTGTGTGTGGTGTGTTGTGTGTGTGTGTGTGTGTGTGTGTGTGTGTGTGTATTTAAATAGTATTTCCAATTATATAGATCATCATATTACATACATACTGAATATCTATATATATACATAACTACTATATATGTCTATCTATATATATCTATTATATTTATATATCTAATATATATATATCTATATATATTCGCTATTATATTATCCATATATGTTATATATCTCTATATGTTATCGTATATATCATCTATCTATATACTATATCTATAATATATATATATATATCTATTTAATTATATTCTATATGCCTTATATCCATATAATATCATACATATATTATGATCTAATATATCTTTATATATATATATATATATATATATATATATTATATATCCCTCTCTCTACTATCTCTATCCTACTATACCTATCTATATATCCTATCTAATCTACTCTCTCTCTCTCTCTCTCTCATATATATGTATCTCTCTCTATCCTCTACTCTATATCTCTCTCTATCAGTATCTCTCTCTCTCCTCTCTCTCCTCACCTATCTATCATATCTTCTGCTCTCTCGTCTATCTCATCTCTCTACTCTCTCTCTCTATCTCTGTATATGCATATCTCGCTCTTGCCTCTACGTCTGCCTCTCTCTCTGCCTATATCTGCTACTCCCTCTCTCATCTCTCTCTCTCTCTCCTCTCGCTTCTCCGCTC